CTCCTCTTGACAGCCCTTTTTGTCCTCTCCGATGGATCAGGATGAGCCAGACGCTGCTCAGTTGTTTCCTTGCCTTGTTTTCTGAACTGCACGATGATTCTGTTGACTGTCAAAACGGGATTCCCAAATTCTGCGAAATTTGCCGCTGACTTATTCCACCATCTGCTTGACCAACTATCCTTCATCTAACAAAATCTGACAATTCGAGAGAACCTTGAGTTCTAGGCATGTTGTAGCACAAGATAATTTGTGTGCGGACCATTTTCTGTGAACACAAATTAGTTAGCATAAATCAGTTAAATGACGAAAAATTAGGTGCCTGTTTACTTGTGACCACTCAGTGTAGTTCTTGGGCGACAGATACTGCTGGCTGCCCTCTTCCTGTTCAGTAGTTTGAAATTAGAAACAACTATACGTGAAACTCAGGGGTCTCTGACCTAGCTCCTTCATCCCGTTCAGTAGTTCGAAACTATAGACAACTATAGGTGAACCTCAGGGGTCTCTGACGTAGTTATTTATCCCACATGCACATCAGCTGCTGTTAAGTTGAAAATTCTAATCCAATTGTATCTTAATATTTCTCAAAGTATACGTAATTAATAAATTTAAAGTGTATCAATATCCATTATAGAAATTTTCCAAGGTGTAATATAGCAAACTGTTGTAATGCTGCACATGGTATTTAGCTATTAAAAACTTAGGTATCTGTTTATATGTAATGTCGTAAAAATAGTATAACGAGCAAGTAATAATAATGAAAATGATGAAGACCATGGTGGAAATAAAATCGGAAGCATCCAAAATAAAACATCTGTTAGGTATGAACGAATCTGATGCAAATATTATTTGTGTGTGTGTGTGTGTGTGTGTTGTTTCTTATCCGTTTCAGGTATTACAAATTCACGTTCGGCAATTATCTGGGAAAATTTGACGTTGAATCTAAAATTAAATGTTTATAACCAACTGGTTGTGTATATATAGACACACACACATCACGTGTGAAAGACTGTGCTGAACAAAATAGCGTACAGAAAAAAATTTATTTTCTTGCTAACTTGGCCCTGTTAGCTACATACGGCTTGCATGAATATAATTAATAGTTTATGTTCTTTAATTCAAAGATTTCTGTTACCACGTTTAAGAAAAGATATTCGGAAATTAACCATCACACACACATAAAGCAACTCATTACATTTACCCTAGCACATAAAATAGGAAGATAACAGAATTAGTTCTAAAAGTGTCTTAAGATAACTACATGCTACACAATTCAACGCTCCTACTGATCATGTGTACTTGGTTATATGTAAAATAACTATATTATCTACAGTTGACTGTTCCACGATTTAGATTGAACTTTGTTATAGAACATACAATTTCACGCTCTTGTTGTATTATACAGGGGGGGTGGGGATCACAAGGATGGGTGGCTAGGGCCCACAGTCCCTTCTACCACTACCAGTGGTGTTATAAGTGATAGTCCTGGTTATGAAATAATGCTTTAGAGTGCACTTTCCAATGCAAGAGGGTTTTTTTTTCTGTGCATCAGGGTAAGTGTTGATCCATTTCTAGTTACACACTTTTTAAAGCCCACTAACCCTACCCTTTGCGAGAACTCCTTTGAGCAACCCAAAGGTACAAAAGACCATGGGAGATGTCTACGAATGGTAAAACAAGAATTCCCACTTGTACTTTCTTCTTTTGGAGGAAACGTCATGTTTCAATGGACATATAGCAAGATTATTTGTCTTTGTGAAGCTATGGACCTTACTGGCATACAGTACGTAAAAATGGTACTTACTCATGGTAAATCGATGTTAGCCCGGTAGCATAGAGTTTGAATTCGCTTTTTTGTTGTATTTTTTAACTGTTTAACTTACTATTATAGCTACAATCATCATAAATCCCCTGGAAAAAATGTTTGAAACTTTTCTGTATTATTTTTTGAAATCTTGTATTGGCGGTAGAACGATAATAAGTTACCTAGACCCCCCAGTGGCACAGCGGTATGTCTGCGGACTTACAACGCTAGAATCCGGGTTTCGATACCCGTGGTGGGCAGAGCACAGATAGCCTATTGTGTAGCTTTGAGCTTAATTACGAACAAAACAAACGAACAATCAGTAAAGGACAGTCCTCCCCAGATTTGGGTCCGTATCTAAATCTGGATCCGGACTCTAGATCACTTTGAACATTATTTATAATGGTGAGATAGGGGCATTTTTGCGGCTTGGGGTTAACTCTGTAAAATGTGATCGGATTTGTACTATATTTGATGAGCACAACCCCCCCCCACACCACCAAAATTCTAGGCATTGGATTTATAATACCAAGCCATGGAATTTGGATTTACAGATCCCTGCTAGGCGCTGAAAAAGTCCGTTTGTTGATAGTTTGTCAATGTCGTGCTTTTCGTCTACTCATCCTTTCAACTTTGCCTTCTACACCTCAAAACAAGCCTATCTCACCCACCTCTTGGATTAAAATATTATACTTATGACGCCCAAAATTACTTCTCCACTATAGTTAATGCAGTTAATCTCTAGATACACAATAATTACCTCTTGCGGGGCGAAGAAAGATAATGTATCTTCGAGCACCCCGAATGTTGGCTGTTCGATGGCCGTCATTGTAATGTTTACTGTCGAATTGTTTTCTTCTAAAGTCCTGTCAGTATTTCATGGACATATTAAGGTTGAAACTCCTCCTCAAAAAACAATGATCCGGATCACTGATCATTCTGTGTCTGAGAAGGAGTTTCTGAGTTTTCGAAGGTGAAATTTGACGTTATCCAATATAAACGCATGCAATCTAGAAAAGGATCGACGGTATGTAATCTCTCTGATTGCTCTTGTTGCAATTGTCACATGCCAGATAACACTTGGGCGACGGTATGTAATCTCTCTGATTACTCTTGTTGCAATTGTCACATGCCAGATAACACTTGGGCGACGGTATGTAATCTCTCTGATTACCTCTTGTTGCAATTGTCACATGCCAGATAACACTTGGGCGATGGTATGTAATCTCTCTGATTGCTCTTGTTGGAATTGTCATATACCAGATACCACTTGTACAATTTTCGATAGTTGATCTTCTGTTCGGCTATGTTGAGCATTCAACTTTGTATGCTTTTTAGACCCACTACGAGTGACTTATATTATTTACAATTCCTATGTCAGCTATAATGGACCGCTGTGATTTGCGATGATAAACTGTCTACTATTTCTTCACTACCTCAAGTGTGCGACTTGTAACTGGTCACGAAGTAGCTTATATTTACACTTCTGGAATCACACCTTTCCGTGTCTTATCAAGATGCACTCACTCGCCAACATGTAAAAAAAGCCTTATAACGTATTTGGCTGCCATATACATTGATAACAGCCTGGATCAGACAAGGTATTGACCCAACTAGTATTTACTTCAATCTTTGACTAGTCATAAATCAATATTGTCTCTAATTCTGATAATTGACTATTTCTTCTGATAATTAGTTCTAAAATATCCTTAGATTCTCAATGGGATTGAGATCATTAGAGTCTGGTAGATGTTGAAAGTCTGGTTCACTGAGCAGGGTATAACTACGAACAATTTTAACTCTATGACTGTTGGCATTACCATCTTGAAAGTAACCATCCCTGTTTCAATGAAAGTAGAGCATTGCTGGGTACAGGTGTTTAGCTAGGGCAGAAGTATGGCTATTAAAAGGAATCACAGAAACTAGACCCTGCCGTTACACCGTCTTCACAGCCTTGTATAGTAGAGATTATGCAATGCGGGTCCATGACTTCAGTAGGTTGTTACACACTTTAATCTGCCATCATTGCAGAACGATCTGAAACTCAACACATCTGAAATTACACATTTCCGTTAGGGCAACGGTCCAAACCCAATGATTTTGATTAGGAATCAATGAAGAAATTTCTTTCGAATGCAATAGAGATAAGTCGTTTACGTAAGGGGGCGGAGCAGGCACGATTACCAAAGTTAATTTGACGCAGCTCCCTACGCGTTGCTCTGGTTG